ATTCTAATATATATATATATATATATATATATTTATTTATTTTTTTGTTTTGTTTTGGACTTATGGAGATGTTTATTAACGTTTTGTATAGAGAAATAAATTTTTACGGAAAGCCTCATTTTCATTTCATTGCCATTCGTCGCTTGACCACAAACTCTCATTTCACATTTCACTCAGAAGCAGATTTTCTTACTGGACAGCTGAAGGCGTATTCACAATACCAGGCCAATGACCAATGAAAAATAGTAGGGATGCACCGATACTTTTCGAGTACCGATGCCGATACTTGGCATTTTCATGAGAACTACCAGGGTTGCAGCGGCTGCAGCTGGGACCTGGCTCTGGCACTCCACCACTGTCCTGAAATCATTAGTCTTTATTGTTTTAAAAAACTGTCACATGACAATAAACAAAAATGTATCAGTACTCGTACTTGTAAGTACTTGGGCAAGTACTTGTACTCGCAAAACTGGTATCGGTGAATCACTTTATTTATATTTATAAAAACAAAATCATACATTAAAACAGAGATGTACAAATCCCAGAAGCTCTGTGTGCTCCTTACAAATGACAGCTGCCTCCTAATTTTTGAATTTTTCTCTAGTCTAGTCCTGGAGCTCGAAAAGTATCTGTACTTGTACTTATACCGAGTACTGTACTTGGTATTTGTGCATTCCTAAAAAATAGAATAAGTCTTAACAGCCAGTCAGAGTTTAATCCAATTTGTTGTTTGGTTTACTGGACGTTCTTATTGCACTTTTTGGATGAGAATCCTAGTAGTCAGCCCTTATCACGGAAGTGGCAGAACAAGAAAGTCTGTTGCTATAAGCAGCTAATCAGATTAGATGTGCCATTCCCGTGATCTAACTACCATTCTTTTAGTTTGGAATTGGAAATAACAAGCTCATTTTCACATTATATAGCTAAAAGTGGATGGATACCTCACTAGAACACTTACGAGCTGTGAGCTTGTAGGACATCACAATCCAAACAAAACCATGGACATTGATATTGAATTGCTCCCCACTCGCACCCCTTTCATTGCAGCTACTCTTGCCTCCACTCTTCTAGGAAGGCTTCCTACAAGAATTTGAAGTGTGTCTGTATGAATTTGTACCCATACAGCTTATAGAGGATTTGTGGGGTCTGGTTCTCTGATGTTAAGGGAGTACTTGGCCTGGAATAGGCGTTCCATAGGTTCCAAGGTGTTCAGTAGGGTTGGGGTCAGGGCTCTGTAAAGGCCACTTGAGTTCCTCCACACCAAACTCAACAAACAATGTTTTTATTGAACTAGCTTTGTGCACAGGGACACAGTCTTGATGAACTAGAAAAGGACCTTCCCCAAATTGTTTTTTTAAAAGGTTGTTGGCCTTGTCTTAGATGTGTGCTGTAGTATTAACAGCCCCCTTCACTGGAAACATCTGCAGTAAATAGTTTGAAGGGGAGTCCACATACATTCAGCCATCTAGTGTATTTCTGGCAAAGCTAAACCTTTATTACAGAGCATGAACAATCTGCAGGGTGTGCAATACTGACACTCATATACAAGGTATAGAAAGAGGATCTGACTAGAACTAACTAAGAAGTAAACTCCATAATTAACCACTCCTCCAGATTCCTCCTGGACAATAAACCTAAGCCCTGAAGAAGGAGAGGCATTTGTGTGTAACCCCCAAAATCTGTTTGCTGTCACCTCTTGATACACCTTTTAATTGTGATAAATTATATCTATGGCTTTGTATTCTCATTCTTTCACTCCATATAGGCTGATTTTCCCAGAGACCCTGTTTTGGTTCCTTAGGGCACAAGACAGTTAGTAATCATCTGGTCCATTTACACCCCCACTAAACCTGGAGTCCAATATTCTACCACCTTAACCCTGACACATAATAATGGAAAATCAGCTGTGATCAGACCTTGGCAGAGTTCTTGGCACTTCCGGTCCCATTAAAAAAGTAATGCCGTTGTAAG